CAGTCAGTCAGTTTGTCAGTCAGTCAGTCAGTTTGTCAGTCAGTCAGTCAGTTTGTCAGTCAGTCAGTTAGTCAGTCAGTCAGTTGTCAGACAGTTTGTCAGACAGTCAGTTTGTCAGTCTGTCTCTCTCTCTCGGTCTCTTTCGCTATCTCCCCCCTATCTCAGATATGAGTGAAGTCCAGTATTCGCACATATACTTACATTCACTAACACTCAAGTGAAGGGAGAACAGTCGAGAGCTTAGAGCTTGTCAGAAATTGCAACGCCGATGTGAAGGTCTGCATAGGATCTCCAGTTCTCGAGGAGGAAGAGATCTCTTTCGCGGAAATAACATTTACATTTACGGAATTTGATCTAAGTAGTTGTCTCGCCCAAAATAAAAAACTTACTCTCACATGTACACACATCCTCACTCACTCGTTCACCTACCCACTCCCTCGGTCACCCCACCTTCAAATAGTGGGGATCAAATCTGGGTCGATCTATGTAGAATTTGAGGGCAAAGCAGGTTCGCGACAGATTTTCTCGAGGTTTCCCGTTTCCCATGCTTCTCATTTCACCAACGTTCTATCACAATTTACAGCTTATTTTCATCATCAACCACGCATCAAGCTAATCATCTCTAAGTTGATCGAAAAGGCTTCGTATGAGAATCATATTCAAATTAAACACCTAGAATTACTGTATCAGTAGTGTGTTATTAGAAGTATCAGAGCGAGTTCAATCCTGCACGCAAAGACTTACTTCCAGTCCTTTATTGCCACTAGTTTTCAACATTCACTTTAACTATAATTTATCTATTTCAGTACAGATGTTCATGTTAGCTCACAAACCATCTGAATTGCCATTTGAAACCAGTGCCTTAGTGGCAGAAAGACCACCGTCTGGAAACCCGTTCTAGATTGTCATCTAGGCAGTATCATCCGATCCAGCTACTTAGTGTCAAAATTCCGTCACCGTCAAACCTAGAAGCTTCTAATTTACGAGGGCTCAGCTGCGGACGTACCTACGTCCTCTAGCGCATCCTCTTTCCCTCCACTCCACCAAAAAATGGAAGCCCGGCCGCTACTTTTATAGAGGATGGAAACTGTCCATAATATCGAAGGATTGAGTCATCCACCAGCAGCTGCGTCGCATCCATACACCCGTCGATGCCGTAAGGTCCCGCCGAAGTTTAAAACTTGTAAGCTATATCGTCAATTGCACGGAACCCTCAAGAAAGAAAAACCTCGCCTCGAAGTCGCTTCACAGTCTGGCGCAAGTACGTCCGGTATTTCACTCACAAGACGTCGAGTGGATCCTGAAACTTTGATAGTTCGGAGAACAAAAGAAGGTGGATGGAGGCGGAGAGGGCGGTATTGTCGTTTCAAAGTCCATAACGCGAAGTGATCTCATTTTTCTTCTTTTGCTTTCGGGAAAAGCGACTTTGTGAGGGAAAAGCCACGGAAATGTGGAAATAGCGGCAATATCAGTTTCCTCAAAGCTAATATTTTTGCGAGCTTAGCCTTTATTATGAAGGGTTCCATATCGAAGGAAAAAGAAGGGTTCCATATCGAACGAAACGACGGGAAAAAATTCCAAACTTCTATTTATAGAGACATTTTCGTCATAATTTAATTAGAGGGGTCTCTATCTAACAATTATTGGAGATTAAAAATATTAATATGTATACATATTTTCACTATCGAAACTGTCTCTAACACGACAAAACAGACACAAGAGACATACCTGTGACTATATACCCCTTCCTCTCCTTCACTACCGTTAAGTCAGGACAAGAATTCCCTTGAATTTGGGTCATACAAAGGAAACACTTCTTTGTATCGCTATGTTTCAATTTCAAGCCGTCATTAGGGCTTTAACCAAAATCAAATTCGCCATATTGCGTCCCGCTGTTTTCTCTCACACCCGCGTACCAGTTGCTCCCTTTCTACCGCAGTTTTGAGTATCTTATGGGGCACAACCATATTACGTGTTTCGGGAGGGGGAAGAAAATTGTATTTAGACTCATGAGTAAATATTCTTCTCGCATTAATCAAGGGAAATCCTCAAACATAGGTGAACGCGGAGAATCGTCGGAACTGGGTTTGTTGTCTAAATAAAATTTAGTCATTTGAATTCTGAATATTTACAGAATTTTAATTTTGCGTAAGTGAAGACTATGACCTCCTTGAAGCAGCACATGATACACATAGAAATCAGTTTCAATAAATTAATAATATTCAAAAGAATTAATTTATAATATAATAAGATTCCCTTGCGCTTTCTTTGTGTCCAGAGTAATAGAAGAGAAAGAACAAAATGAACAACGTTAAAAGAATCACTTATGCAAAAGCGATCTTGCAAAAATTGAGCGAGCTCTTCTTTTGTACTCGGCAGGAAAACTGAACGGGATTCAATCGAGCTCTCCATTTTTGGGGAGGTACGCAAAAGACTTGTTGGCCGCAGGATGCAATCGGAATAGTTCACAAATTGCATTTTCTGTAGCGACCATATTGAATCACCTGGCTTCATTCTATGTACGCCACTCAATATTGTTTTCAATTTATCTGTATAGATTAACTTACCTATTTTTGCAACACGTTTCCTAGTCTAGTATTCATCACCCTGATCGCCATCACATGCCCGCAGCACAAAACGCACGCACTCTCTACCTAGCAAAATATTGGCGTCTGTCCTCGTGATGTCGTGCACGATAGATCCTGAATCATTGACATTACTATACACTGAATGTGCTATCCTTCAATTTTATCCACTTGTCGACGTCATTACTAGAAACCGCATTTATGTGCACTAACAAGATAAGAAATAAGTATGCGTATGTGCAGAAGCAGCTTCGATGGCGGTGGCACTGGCTTGTGGGGTTGTCACCAGCAGATATCTCAGCCAGTGAGATGTCGTCCCAGCCCAAATAAGCTTGAAGTGACTGACTGGGCTCCCGACGTGTGTAGTAGTGTAGTGCGTGTAAATGTAAGTACGAGTAGATATGAGTGAGTGAGAGTGTGTGTGTGTGTGTGTGTGTGTGTGTGTGTGTGTGTGTGTGTATGTATGAATGTAAGGGGAGAACGCGGTACGTGGTCCCTTACGGCCCTGCTCCTGGATTCGCCTACTACTGGTTCAGGGAATCGCGGCAAATTGCCAATCAGAGCAGCCGGAAGCTAAATTCTCCTGACAGGCAACGACTGAATTCGACCTAGCTACATAGCCAGGGTGGAAAATCTGCTACTGTCTCTCTGTCAGAGGTCCCACCTCTCTGTCAGAGGCGCTGTAGTACCTATAGCTGACGTCCTGATCTACATCAGCTGGTAAAAAATTCGATAATATGTCGTAAGTTATGCTCTGTAAATTACCATTAATCTATATTTACACTGTTCCTTATAAGTTTTATGGACACTCGGTCAGCATTCATCCGAATATTCCTGTACCGCTCACTGAAACGTTTGGGAGAGTAGGTAGTGTTAGTTTCCACGATGAAACGTTTGCCGTTAAATACAATTAAAAAAACTAAAAAAAATCATCTCTCTTCCCTCACATTTGTAGGTAAGGACGTCTTCTTTGAGATTTGTGGGTGTTCAAGTATCGTGTGTAAACAACGTTTCTGATTCGCAAGATGAACTCGACAGCATTTAATAAACGATCGTGGTTTTACGATTACATATCGCACATTACAGGAAATGCATATAAATTAAAATGCATTCTAGGTAGACACTAAAACTTAAAAATTAAATTTATTGAAATAAAAGTAGTAATTAAAATGAACACTTATAAACTTTTATAGCAAAATGTGCAGAATTATTTGCCATTTTCGAAGTATGGTGCTTATTAAAATCGATCAACATATACAGGACATGCATAACAATCATGTTTAAATAGGAAATTGGGTCTTTCATTCACATACCAATTAAGACTCCTTTTTTACAAGGGATGCGATATCGATGTTTTCAATATATTGATATATTAAAGCACACGTTTTTTAACATCGATGTTCTGGGTTCGGTGCTTTTATGTTTTGTGATCGATGTTTACTGATGAAAAATTCGCATCATTAAATTTATGTAAAAGTGAAAATATGAAATCATAACGGAAGGTACCATTGTCAGTTTGTGTATTAGAGTCAAACGTGTTAGTACAACCTTCATCGAAAAGATTTTCTCTCCCCCGAGATGACCTCAACGCCTTGGTATTAACTTCGTCTTTCCTCGTATTGCAAACATGGAGAGTTGTTTCTCAACTTTATTTTCAAGAAACTCTTTACTGTAAATTAATAAACTGTGCCACTGTCAAATTAAATTTTGATGCGCACGAACTTAATGTTACAAGTTACGGAACTAGCTTTAAAGCATTGATGGGTTTTGGTTGATGTTTGAGTAATATCAAAGTTTGTAAACATCGATGTTTTGTTATCGACTTCGCATCACTATTTCTAACAACAAGGGAAAAATATGCATTTTTGAAATGCCTGAAGCCATTCTGAAGTAATTATATCATTCCTACGATCACTAACCCAATCTGGGGAGGTACAGCTTATTAGCAATATTAACAAAATTAAAGAAATCTAAAATATACTTCTAAGAAATACTCTACACGCTTCTTGGTTCATAACAAATTCCTCGAAAAATTAAAAATCCTAAAACTAGAAGAAACTATAGCCAAATTAGCAAACAATTTGTACAACAGTTTGCATACTCCCCGACGTACCTTCATTTTTAACATGGGAGAACATGCAATCTACCCACGCATAAAATAAAGATTTTCCCAAAATGAATTCAAACCTTCATAAACCATAACAACCTAAATTTCTTAACATAAGCACTTACCTTTCTCTTTCTCATTAACAATGAAATGTAATCAACAACTAATTCGGAGTGCAAACCGCTCATATCTTATAGATAGCCAATCATAAATGTTATTGACAAATCTCATGCACTATTAAACTCCTTGAAAGACTGTACTAACGAATAAGAGGAAATACATTTTTTTAAATAATCTTTATCACTCACCTCGTAGCTGCGGACGTCTCCAGAGAAGGCGTCGTCAGGCACGCAGCAAAAGACCCACGCGTCCACGGAGGCAGGCACGCCCACTGCGTTGAACGGGGCGCCGGCCGCGGGACGTGCCCCACCTCCCGCCGTCCCGTTGCCCGCCCCCGCCCCCGTCGCCGCCGCCGCCGCGGCGGCGGCGGGCGCGACCTCTTCCTCGGGCGCGTTCTCAAAGGCGAAGTCGTCCTCCGCCGCCGTCGCGGCCGACGCAGCCCCCGCCACCGCCACCGCCGCCAGCAGGAACAGCAGCAGGCGCCGCAGCCTCATCTTGGTCACAGCCATGCGAGCAGGTGGGGATGTAGGCGCGCCCGCTGCGGCCTCTCACTCCATGCCAGGCCCTGCGAGCACAAACACACACGCGCGCGCGCGTAATGAAGAGCCGTCCACGGCAGTCCACAGCCGCCGCGCTGTGTACAGACGCCCAACTTGCGCGCTTAAGGCGATGAAGACCTGCGCAGTAGTGAGCTCTGATGTAACAGAGACACCACCTGCGTTGGGGGAAGGACAATTTTACTCGTTCTACACACAAGTGTGTTCAGGCACGTCTATATAAACTTTAAAGTACAGAAATAAGTAAACACAAAAATAACGAAATATGGAATATGTTGGCATGATACAAATATTTAAAATATAAAATGTATCCTTCGGCATCAATGATTCTCATACTCCAGCTACGCTGTTGGAGAATTCAACCTGATGGCCTGTTTATTTCTGAAAGAACGTTTTCGGTAATTTGTAACATTTCTTTTTTTTTTTTTTTGG